CGCTCCCCCCACCCGGACTCCCCCATGTATGACGACTCCTACGTGCCCGGGTTTGAGGACTCGGAGGCGGTGAGTGCCCACGGCGAGGGTGGGGGCGGGGAAGTTGGGTGACGCCTCCTCTGCCTTGGACCCTTCTCCCAGTTCAGTACTTTGAACAGACGTCCCAGGAGCGGGGCAGGGAATGTCGGGGGGCGCTCCAGAGAAGTGGGAAGATGGATTTTCATGTCAGGGGCTCCCCAGTCCCAGGCCGAGGCAGCGGTTGTGTGCAGGGAGGGGGTAGTGTGGGGGAAAGACTCGAGCAGGTGTTTCCAAAGCTCAGGAAGAAAGGTAGAGGGGAAAGGGGCTTTAGACATGGCACACAGTCTGGAGCTCCCAAAGGCGGATGTGTGAGGTCTGAACACAACCGCTACAGGAGAAGCTGGGTCTCTTGGTTCCCAGGGGGACAATCCAGACCGGTGCCTCATGTAAAGGACAAATTCAGGGAGCTTGGGAGAACAGCAGAGGATCAGGTACCAGCCTCTTCAGACAGGAAGATCACAAAACTTGAAGATCTCCATGACCCCTTCTCCTGTGCAGCCTGAGCTTGCCTTATCTCCTCACCCTCCCTCCAGCCCAGCTTCTCTTCCAGGCTGGAAACTGGGCCCCCAGCACATGGGTGGGCCGGCTGACTGACCCCCTCCCGCCCATGCCTCCTGCTGAGGTGTCCTCAGAGCTGCGGGCATCCTGAGCTCCTGCTCTCAGCATGGAGGTTGGAGGTGAAGCCAGAGGAGCTGAGGGCCTGGGGATGGAGAGGAAGCTCTTTGCTCAGAGAACCAGGCAACCAATAAATATTTAATTCTCCTCTTTGCTTTTATCTCCTGACCCACTGAGACAAATCAGCTCATTAGGCAGTGATTCCCGGAGCTCAGAGAGAAGGAAGAGTGCCTGGAAAGAGGGGGCACGGACGGGGAGCAGTTATCTTCGCAGTCCCTTCTCTCAAACATCACGCAAGGAGAGGACCACTAAATGGTGGGAAGGGGTCCCATAGGTGTAAGGTAGAGCACTCCAGGGCTGAAAGTGGAGTGTGGAGTGCTGGAGTCTTCTTTCATCACTTGCTGCCAAACCCAGGATAGATGAGTGTTAGGGCTCACGGTGGGCAGCTATCAGTCCTTTTCTGGGGCTGGGCTCCTGCTGGGCCAAATTCCCCGCTGGGCCTCTAGGGCTAATTACATGGCAGCAGGAGCAGATGATTTTCAAGGCTCTGGTGGACACCTATTACGATGGTTGAAGAGACAGTTGGCATGGCCCAGGGGGCCAAGGTGAGCTTAAGAAGAAACCTCCCTGTAGGGCTGGAAGGCCCTAGAACAGCGGTTCTCAACCTGTGGGTCGCGACCCCTTTGGCGGTCGAACGACCCTTTCACAGGGGTCGCCTAAGACCATCCTGCATATCAGATATTTACATTACGATTCATAACAGTAGCAACATTACAGTTATGAAGTAGCAACGAAAATAATTTTATGGTTGGGTCACAACATGAGGAACTGTATTTAAAGGGCCAGAAGGTTGAGAACCACTGCCCTAAAAGGTTCTTCCCATCCCTAGTGAGAAGGCAAGAGCTGCTGTAAGGTAAAGACTGACATGTGGATGGTGTTGGGAGCAGTCTGCTAACCCATCACTTGCCCCACCCCTCTCTGGTCCCTGGATCACCCTCCTCCACTTTCCTTTCTCTTGCCTGGCTCCTTGCTCTCTCTCGGGCCCCCTCTGAAGCAGTAGGAGGGAGATCAGGCTCTAAATAAATCCACCGGCTCATCTCCCTCCTCTCCTTCCCCCGTGCCAGGCAAGAGTGGAGCTGCAGCCTGCCCACACACTCACCAGGCAAGGGGGGCACCACTAGGGCACTGTGCCAACTCCTGGCAGCTCCGAAGTACTGAGCCTCTGGCCGTTTTGGCATAATGGGGTAAGGGAGGCAAGACCCCAGATAAGGCTTGGCAAAGGCATCCTGGCTTCCCTACGTGAGACCAGAGCATGAGAGATAGGTGAGTTCTGAGGACTTGGGAATAAGGAGAGGGGTTTCATTCTGAGCCCAATTCATTAAACATTTAGGGAGAGATCCTGTCATTCCCATCCTAGGGCAAGAGGTCAGGTCATCCAGATGCTCCAGGCAGGCTTACTCTGATGATTAAATTGGGCTGAGAAACTGGAGAGCGGAGACTAAAGGTTAGACTCCTCTCAGCACAGGTCTGGGCATCTAGGAGGCATCTGAAAGGTGCTTATCAAAGTGAGTGGTCATCCTACCTTGCCTCCTGCCTCCCAGCCCGCTGGGCCCTATTCCATGCACGCAGCCGTCTCCCACTGAGGTACATTCTGTATCTAAGACCCCTGGAAGGAGGTTTCCCTCTCTACGGACCATGTAAAGGTTCTTCCTGGGGCTCAGCCCCTCTTTATCCAACTGCCAAGCCAGCCTTATTTTGTTCTCAAGAGAGATGGGAAACAGCAGGCAGACTCTACTCCTCTGTAAAATGAGAGACTTTCCCCCACTGTGCTATCTGCATGTTGTCTACCACAACATTGACTTAGCTTAGGCCCTAGGGCCTGGGCTGACATCAAGCTGACCGGCCCCCTTGCCCATGGAGGGGCTGGAGCAGAGGGCATGGCGGACAGCAGTTTGTCTTCCCCACTGAGAGTCTGGCCTCTGCTGCCTTCTGTAGGGAGTCATGCACTGCGGGCTTGAAGGAATGTTCCTCAGTCCGAGAATGTCCTAAACCCCCTTCCGTACTCACACACACATTCCCACATGGACTCCTTATCTAGGCTCCAACCTTATCTCTGCCACCTGCACCTCAGAATTGATGGAAGTATCACTGCAGGTCTCTGATCATAAAGAGGGGAAACTGGGGCAGAAAACGAAAGATTCCCTTTACCCTAAACTGGGGGTAAACCCAGACATCCTGACCTCTGTCCTCCTGTCCTAAGGCCCAGTTTCTCTTGCTCATTTGTGCATCTTCCTCACGGCCTTGAAGGTGAGCTCTGCAACCCTCCAAATGCATCCTCATTGCCCAAAGACTCTTACTGTGGATAAGACTCAGACACTCTCCTGGCTCAGGTTACCAATGACCTCCTCCCTACATCCCCAGGGTCCTGCTCCTCCACTGGGTTGGCTGGCACCAACTTGGCCTTCCTCCTGGCTGATATCCCCTTGGGGGTGAGCTGGGAGCTATCAGCCAGGTTGTGGGCGTGGCTCAGCCTCACAGGCTCATGGAGATAGCTTTGTGTTGCCTTTAGTCTGTGTCCTTTTTTTTTTAACATTTTTTATTGATTTCAGAGAGGAAGGAAGAGAGAAAAACATCAATGAAAGAGAATCATTGATCAGCTGCCTCCTGCATGCCCCACACTGGGGATTGAGCCCACAACCCAGCATGTGCCCAGACCGTGACCTCCTAGTTCATAGGTCGATGCTAAACCACTGAGCCACACCGGCCGGGCCAGTCTGTGTTTTGTTTGCTGCCCACACCTGGCCATTTGCCCCAGCATGTGTGAGAGAAAAGTGGGGATAGGGAGAGTAGAGAGGAAGAAACTCCCAGGAGTTGGCAGCTCTGTGTCCTCTTCACCCTGGAAGGATAGGGACTCGGGGAGATGAGATCTAAGGGGTGGACGGCTGTATCCTGACTCTCAGGAACAGTGCCGTACCAACCAGCATCTCCTGACTGTTCCCAACTGGCTGTTCATCTGCCAGTCATTTTAAAGCGGTAACGTCTAGGTGGCTTTGCAGGCTGATGTGAACAAGAGGGCTGGGTCGCCTGGATTCAGAATTATCTTCAATATATCATCTTCAAGACATCTTCCCTCTGCCTTGGAGGAGGAGGTGGTGGAGGGGAGGAAAGGGAGGAAGGAGGGAAGTGAAGGCTCTATTCAAAGCTGCAGTATTAATAGGCTTCGGGGGAGGGGGCAGATCTTAGCACATATGGATTGGGTGGCACTCCTGCAGCCCCAGATATACTGGGGCCCTTTTCAGGGAAATTGGAGGGACTGTTGGGGCCCAGCCACCTCTGTGGACAGGGAGAGGCTGGGGTTTGTGGAGGCACTGCCATAGGGTTCCAAGGGTGCCCCTTGAGCCCAGGGATCACAGCCTCTCCCCCATGCCAGGGTTCAGCTGACTCCTATACCAGCCGCCCATCTCTGGACTCAGACGTCTCCCTGGAGGAGGACCGGGAGAGTGCCCGGCGGGAAGTGGAGAGCCAGGCCCAGCAGCAGCTGGAGAGAGCCAAGGTATCTGCTTGTGAGCTGGGGGCAGAACAGGCCAGGCTGGGTGGAAGCTTGTACTCGGTCCTACGTCCCTAGCAGTCAGTGGGCAGGATGTACGTGAATGTGAAAGGTTGTGTGTATGTGATGGGTTGAATGGGGCCCCCACCCTCTGCTGATGGGGCAGTGGGACTGGAAGGGTGCTCTGAGGCTCCCCTCATTGGCACTGATGGCCAAATTCTCTAGCACAAACCTGTGGCATTTGCTGTGAGGACCAATGTCAGCTACTGTGGTGTACTGGACGAGGAGTGCCCAGTCCAGGGCTCTGGAGTCAACTTTGAGGCCAAAGATTTTCTGCACATTAAAGAGGTGACCACCCACACCCCCCAAATAGAAGCCATTTAATTTCCCTCCTCTTGCCCCAGTTCCTATCCTCTTAGTTTAATCCTCAGTCTATAAACAAGTCCCCGAACTCCTCAGCTTTATCCTTAACACACACCCATGCACCCCTTTTATCCAAAAACCCAACAATCCTCAGGGTCTCCATACTTCTGAGATCTGGCTTGGGCCTCAGTCTTCACATGTGTAAAGTCAGCAGTTAGATTAGCTGCCTCTTAGGTCCCCTGCAGGTGACAGCTATGATGCATCACGCTAAAATCTTGGGGTGGCTCAAACCTGGCTGTCCTTCCCTCTGGTACCTTCTCCTGCCCCCCCCCCAACCCCTCACCCCTTATGCTGCCTTGGTCAGACCAGCTCTTTGAATACCTCCCTGGCTCCTCAAGCTGGAGAGCCAGAACTGAGGCCTGTGCCTCCTCCCTCACCTCCCCTTTCTGCTCCATCCCACACCCAGAAGTACAGCAATGATTGGTGGATCGGCCGGCTAGTGAAAGAGGGCGGGGACATCGCCTTCATCCCCAGCCCGCAGCGCCTGGAGAGCATCCGGCTCAAGCAGGAGCAGAAGGCCAGGTGAGAGCAGGGCTATGACTCAATAAACATTCCCTGCCCCTCTCAACATGGGCACTTTACCCGGAGTCCACTTTACTACACATGCATACATATCCCACCCCCCTAAAATACACACTCATTCCCACCTATACACATTTACACTGCACAAATATGCACGCATGCACACACAAATGCACATGTCACGCCTCCCTCACTAGCTAAGATACAAGGAAATGTATACAACTGTTAAATAATGTGGAACATAGGCGCTTACTGACCTTCCTTTCTCCTTTCAGGAGATCCGGAAACCCTTCCAGCCTGAGTGACATTGGCAACCGACGCTCCCCTCCTCCATCTCTAGGTAGCCTCCCCACAGCCCACCTATCCTGGGTAGGTGGGTCACCAGGACACGGGGCAGGGAGATTTTTCCCCAGGTGAACTGTGTGGGGCGGGGTTGGGGAGGGGTCAGAAGTGCTGGCAGAAGCCCAGTGTCTCCCCTGGGGAAGGGAATACATGCCCCCAGGGCCTTTTCCTCTTTCACCAACGTTAATCTTTTATTTCCTTTTCCAAAAAGCCAAGCAGAAGCAAAAACAGGTGAGTCAAGGAAGAGACCAGGGCTTGGGGGCTCATGGTCATGGCTATAGGAACAGGCTTCCGGGCAGTCCTTGTGGAGGGGCAGCAGGACAGGGAGGGCGGGAGCCCAGAACTTCTGAACTGGCCCCACACCAGTCAGCATAGGGCAGGCCAGCAGGCCATGGCTTTGCTTGACCTCACGTCAATTCTGCAGGCAGAACATGTTCCCCCATATGATGTGGTGCCCTCCATGCGGCCTGTGGTGCTGGTGGGACCCTCTCTGAAAGGTTATGAGGTGAGAGGAAGTCCTTGACCCCAAAGATCACCTTTGCCAAGCCTGCCGTGGGAAGGCCCCAGGGACAATGGGAGGGGCCCGTGTGTGGAGGGGATGGGCTCCAGGGCCATGCCTGCTGATGCTGCCCTTCTCCAAGAAGGCCCTCAGCCAGTTCCATTCCGTTCCCCTCATCTCTCCCACCCAGGTCACAGACATGATGCAGAAGGCTCTCTTTGACTTCCTCAAACATAGGTTTGATGGCAGGTAAGCTGCTCTGGCCTGAGAACCAGAGAAATCATTGCTTCCTAACATATGTCTATAGCAAGGTCTTTTCTAAAGGGAAAGTTAGGAATTAGGAGGTCCTGTGTAAGGAGGGGCCTAGAGCTTGAAATTTAGAAGTGAGCTGTGATTCTCCACTGCCACCCCAGGATCTCCATCACCCGAGTCACAGCGGACCTCTCGCTGGCAAAGCGCTCTGTGCTCAACAATCCTGGCAAGAGGACCATCATTGAGCGTTCCTCCGCCCGCTCCAGCATCGGTGAGAAGTCCCCAGCTCCTGCTTCTCTGCTCATGCAGGCCTTCCTGAGAACCTTCCTCCTACCTTTTTCTTTCCCAACTCTTCCTCTGCCTGCCCCAAGATTGGCAAGAACACACCCCAGTCTCCTCAGTCCCCTATTCTTCTGCCTGCCCAGGCCTTGATGAACGCCCTCTCCCTCCATCATTGGGGAGGCCCCCTAGCCCCACTGGAGGAAGTGGGGGGAGCCGCCGGTGAACACTGTGGCTCACTTGCTCCCTCTATAGCTGAAGTACAGAGTGAGATTGAGCGCATTTTTGAGCTGGCCAAATCCCTGCAGCTGGTAGTGTTGGATGCTGACACCATCAACCACCCAGCACAGCTGGCCAAGACCTCACTGGCCCCCATCATCGTGTTTGTCAAAGTATCCTCACCGAAGGTAAGCCAGCAGCAGAGGTGGGGGAGGCCCCCAGGGCTGCCCTCCTAGAATGCATCACAGCTTAGCTCGGCCCCTGCCCCACGGCTCCTGAGTTCCATTTTCCTGTTGCCAAATCACAAGTGGGGGACATGCCCAGTTCCTTCTAGGCCCAGCTCTGCCCAGGGCTCCCAGAGACTCCAGGCCTCACTCTGCCCTTTCCCCTCAGGTACTCCAGCGTCTCATCCGCTCCCGAGGGAAGTCACAGATGAAGCACCTGACTGTGCAGATGATGGCATATGATAAGCTGGTTCAGTGCCCACCAGTGAGTGCCTGGGGCAGCTGCTCCTGTGCCCTCTTGCTTTTCTAGGGCTGGGGCAGTGATGGAGATGGGGCGGGGACTGCTGCTTAGAGGAAGCCAACATTCCCCCTTTCCCTAGGAGTCATTTGATGTGATTTTGGATGAGAACCAGCTGGAGGATGCCTGTGAGCATCTGGCTGAATACCTGGAGGTTTACTGGCGTGCCACCCACCACCCAGCCCCCAGCCCTGGACTTCTGGGTCCTCCCGGTGCCATCCCTGGACTTCAGGTAGTCATTTCCAGTTGGCACTGATGTTTAGGCTAAGCCAGCCAAAGCAATGCCCCCTCCCTGCCCAGAGGCTTGTCCTTGGCCTCCAGTTTGAGCTAGGGCAGATGGACAAAGGAACTCCCTGATGAGAGAGGGAATACATCAAGAGGTTACTTTTCTAAGGCTCAAAAGAAACATACTCTCAAACTTTGCTATTTTTTTAAATCCTCACTGGAGGATATTTTTCCATTGATTTTTAGAGAGAGTGTAAGGGAGGGGGAGAGGCAGAGACAGAGAAACATCGATGTGAGAGAGACACATCGATTGGTTGCCTCCCGCACCAGGGCCAGGGATCGAGCCTGCAACCAAGCTACATGCCCTTGACTGGAATCGAACCTGGGACCCTTCAGTCCATGGGCCGGCGCCCTATCCACTGAGCCAAACTGGTGAGGGCTCTCTGGTCTGTCTTGAAGGCAGAGTCTGAATTTTGCTGGAGTCAAAAGCTCCAGTTTTCCATATCTGAAGAGGAAGAATAAGGCAGTATGCTTCCCTCCCTTGCACTAGTTCCTCTACCCAGGAACGGAGGGTTGAGGGGGGTGAGGTCTGTACTGCCTCACTTAGAGCTGGTGTGTTACCCCCAGAACCAGCAGCTGCTGGCGGAGCGTGGCGAAGAACACTCACCCCTTGAGCGGGACAGCTTGATGCCCTCAGATGAGGCCAGCGAGAGCTCCCGCCAAGCCTGGACAGGATCCTCGCAGCGTAGCTCCCGCCACCTGGAGGAGGACTATGCAGACGCCTACCAGGACCTGTACCAGCCTCACCGCCAACACACCTCTGGGCTGCCTAGTGCTAATGGGCATGACCCCCAAGACCGACTCCTCGTCCAGGACTCGGAGAACAATCACAATGAGCGGAACTGGCAACGCAACCGGCCCTGGCCCAAGGATAGCTACTGACCGCCTCCTGCTGTCCTACCCTGGCAGGCACAGGCACAGCTGGCTGGGGCACCCACTCCAGGCAGGTTGGCATTAGACTGGCACTAGGCTGGCACTAGGCTGAGCCCCTCACAACCCCTTGCCCAGCTCCAGGGCTGCCTGTGATCCTAATGTTCTGGGAAAAGCAGGGTCCCCCTTACCTCCTGGGCAGTGACACCCCTAGCCTCCCATTCCAGGTACTAGCTGTGTGTGCTGCAACCCTGGCACCTTCCTCTCCTCCTGCACAAGAAGCTGCCCCACTGGGCAGTGCCCTCAGGCCAGGATCCCCTTAGCAGGGACCTTCCCATCAGACTCAGGGAAGGGATGCCCCCTCAAAGTGACAAGAGGCTGGGGTGTGGGCAACATGACATGAGGAAGAAACAAGGCTCCTGAGCAGACACAAGTCCTAACAGTCAGAGGATTCAGGCTTTGTGCTTTGGGGTCTGAGGACCTCCACTCACCTCACTGCCACTCGAGAAAAGAGACAATCAAAGCCCAACAGGGTGGCACTCCCATCCATCAGCTGGGGAGGCATCTACCTACAAGGCTGGAGTAGCAGGCTGGCTGGGCTGGGGCCAAAGGCCTTACAGCTGAGGGTCTGGAATGGAAGGGCTCTCCTCACCCTGCCAGGAATCTTCCTAACATCGGACGGGACCAGGGACAGGAGCATAGTCAAGCCAAATGGTGGTAGGGAGCTGACCCGAGTTGAGGCTTTGGGAAGGGAGGGCATGTGTAGCAGAGACCGTATGGAACAGCTTTGGGGGCCTCCTTGCCCCCCTCATCCTTTTGCTCTTGCATCCTGTCATTTCTGTTCTTGGCCCTCATGCCTCCCGGGGCACATGGGCCCCAAACTTTATTCCCTCATTCCAGCTGCCGCTTGTTATGTTCCGGTTAGGTGGGGAGAGACAGGACACAGTGGACAGCCCTCAGAGGCCCTGTCTACCTGGCTACCCTTGCCTTATGGCTCTAGTGTGTGACCTACAGAGCATGCTCCACAAGACCCTGACCCACCTCACTGTCATCACTAATAAACACCATGCACAGTCCTTTGGGCTCCTGTTCTGTCTGCCAGCTCAGGTGGCCGGTTCCTCATTGTGTGGCCCAAGTCGAGAGAAGGCAAAGAAATGTCCTGGCCTTTCTCTCACAGAGGACCCACTGAGTGGGAAGGAGAAAAGAAGAGCTGGGAAGAAACTGTATTCCCAGCCCCCCCCCCCACTATGCCCTCAGGCCCAGGTGCTGGAGGGAAACATTCAGCAGCACAGAAAGGACTTGTTTTGGGAGGTGGGGAAGAGGCCTACTCACAGCCTCCGCTGTCCCTGCCTCAGGCCCTATAGTTACAACCTAAACGCCATGTATTTGCCCAACAATTTTAGAGTAAGGAAGAACAGAGGAGTAAGATGGTACTGGGGGAGGACCCAGGCCCTGCAGCCCTCTTTTTACAACCTAACTCATCACTCCTTGAGGCTCCTGGTGCCCACCGCCACCCCCTCCCATGAGCAGTGAGCTCAGCAACTGGGGAGCCACAAGCAAAGAGACTGAAAGCTGGGTGTCAGGCACACAGCACCAGGGGGCGAGAGTGGTCCCATTGTGCCTCACCTGCCAGTTTCATAACTGCTTTCCTTTCTCACCCTGTGGAAAGCTCCCTAAGGGCTATCCAGGCCAGAGCCACACATTTAGTGAGGCTAGAGAAGGGGAGGAAAGATGCATGAGGATACTGCCGTCATGGCTTTTCCAACCCCAACGTGCCTCCTGTAGACTTGGACTATCAGCTGAGATCCTAGGCCAGTGATGGCGAACCTATGACACGCGTGTCAGAGGTGACACGCGAACTCATTTTTTTGGTTGATTTTTCTTTGTTAAATGGCATTTAAATATATGAAATATCAAAAATATTTGTTTTACTATGGTTGCAAATATCAAAAAATTTCTATATATGACACGGCACCAGAGTTAAGTTAGGGTTTTTCAAAATGCTGACACGCCGAGCTCAAAAGGTTCGCCATCACTGTCCTAGGCTCTGCTACAGATGTGATTTTCTTTCATCTCCCAAGTCTGTCTTCTGTGGTACCAGGGAGCCTCTGGGAGAGGAAGTTAGCTAGAACTAGATACAGCCTTAATATTCATGTATTTATTCTCAGAACATACAAACTCATCTTTTCAGAGAATAGAAAACAGAAATTTTATTCAGTGACTTCAAGATGGACACAGCCGGCTCACCCTGACCCACATCTAAAAAACTTCCCTGGTTGAGGGATGCCCGGGGTGCACAGCACCCCTTGGCACAGGGGCCGTGCACAGCTCTAAACAAGGCTCTCACCTTGTTTTATAATCCAAAAGGGCAAATGCTATCAAAATGACAATAAGAGTCCAAGGTTCATAATCCTCACAGTGCCGATCCCCTGGGTCATCTAGGGCAACAATGTTGCTGCAGCTTATGCTGTGCGAAGTGTCAAGTCTGTTCGAAGAAACCCTCCCAGCAGCCTGGAAGGCAAAGCCATTGGCTGCCCCTGACACTGGCCATCCCCAAGTCAGCCAGAGGGGCAGAGCTGGGCCCAAACCTGTGGTAATTTGTTCTCCCTGTCTCCTGCAGCAGCTTCCCTCCTTTGCAGCCCACGCTCAGGCCTTCAAACCTGAGGGTCTAGCCAAGCAGTCTGAATTTTTCCTAAGCCCCCATAAGAGTGAGGACCTGGAAAGGGAGATGTGAGGGTCCTGAAGAACAGGCTTCAGAGCCTGCCTTGAAGCCGGTGGGAAGAGTGCTGTGTCAGGCAAAGATGGTCTCTTCCCGGCGCTTCTTGGTGAGGATGGTGCCTGGTTTGTGCTGGGCATCTGGGTGGTTGGCTAGCTCTGGGGGGCAGGAAGACACCGGGCTCTCCAGGATGGCTTGCTTCAGCTCATAGAACACAGCAGAGTCCTCTTTGGTGAGGAAGGTGATGGCCACACCACTCTTGCCTGCTCGTCCCGTTCGGCCAATGCGGTGGATATAATCTGGGGAAGGGGGAGAGGAACGTTACTCAGGGAACCGGGCCAGATGCCCTGGTGAGCAGTGTCTGAAGCCTCTACTTCTAAAGGCATCGTCCTCCCCACACCTCCACAGGCAGGAACAGAGCTCATACTACCTGAACCTGCACTACCCACCGTGTTCTCCCCACAACTACTACTGATGGGGTCATCCTACCACACTAAGACTGAGGGGCCAAGTCCCATTATCTTCCACACCCCAAACACAGTGTGCTACCCCCAGGTACTGGGACAACACGCCCACATGAGATAGAGTAGGAGCTCGCCCTGACCAGTGTGGCTCAGTTGGTTCGGTGTCATTCCATTCACCAAAAGGTTGCTGGTTCCATTCCTGGTCAGGGCACATGCCCGGGTTGCGGGCTCAATCCCAGGTAGGGGGCATGCAGAAGGCAGCCAACTGATGTTTCATTCTCAATCAATGTTTCTCCGTACCCCCCTTCCTCTCTAAAAATCAATTTAAAATCTTAAAATAAAAGAGTAGGAGCTCTTCTCACTGGGACACGCCATTTGAGAGACAGCCGTGAGAGATGGCAGCAGCACCCGACTAAAGGGGAATGAGACAAGGAGTGTCCCCTTCCCCAGACTGCAGCCACTTTCCTCACACTTACCTTCAATGTTTTTGGCCATATCATAGTTGACCACCATAGACACATCTTGGATGTCGATACCACGACCTGCCACATCTGTAGCCACCAAAATGTCCTTGGCCCCAGCCTTGAGGTTAGACAGTGCAAATTCTCGCTGCTCCTGGCCTTTTCCACCATGCAATGTACAAGCATTGTACTGTTGGGAGAATGGTGAGGTGAAGAAAGTGCAATGGAATCATGGAAAGATACAGAAGTTAAAAGGGAGTAGGGACAGAGAGAGGGGGTTTCAGAGAGCAGCAGGTAGAAGGAAAAGGGAAAGGAGGCAGGAGAAAGAATGAATGCAATTGAAAGAAGGAGAGTACAGGTGAGCTGAAGAATGGGTGGGAGAGAACAGGATGTGGCATGGCAGAGAGCACCAGGGCAAGGTCAAAGGTAAAATCAGGGGTGAGATATGAAGCCACACAGATTAGAAGTAGAGAGGATGAGGGTGAAAGATGAGGGTAGAAAGCAGAGACCAAGAAGTTTAAGGAAGTTTAAACACTAAGTATCAAGACATTGATCTACTGATCCTCCTGACCACACTATCCCCTCCCCGAAACATTCATAAACACAACAAACTTTGACCCATCCTATTTTACATCCTCAGACCCTGCCAGAATACCTGTCTCAAAACCTCTCCCTAGCTGGGCCAGTGTAGCTCAGTGATTGAGCACCGACCTATAAACCAGGAGGTCACGGTTTGATTCCCGGTCAGAGTAAATGCCCAGGTTGTAGGCTCCATCCCCAGTAGGGGGTGGGCAGGAGGCAGCCAATCAATGATTCTCTCGCATCATTGATGTTTCTCTCCTTCTCCTTTCCTCTCTGAAATCAATAAAAATATATTTAAAAAATAAATAACTCTCCCTGGCCCAAGCCCACCTGGAGGAAGACCCAAGGGAGCTCTGGCAGCCACTACTGGAATGGACAGTCTTAGTCCTCCGATCTCCATCACACCTCCCTTTTCCCTCTGGCCCTGACTTGTTCAATACTGGAGAAATTGAAAAATGGGTGAAAATTGAGAGCAGGAGCCTAGGAAGGGCCCTCTAATTTCAGAAAGTAACACCAAAGAGACGGGACTTTGCCCTCCCCCGCCAGACACACCCCCATCTTCTCCAGGGATTTGGCCAAAACGTCACAGCCTTTCTTTTGGTTGAGGAAAATGATGATGGGTGGGTCAAAGCCTTGCTCCAAGATTGCCAGCAGCTTTTTCCTGGGGAGAAGAGAAGAAAAATGAGATGCACACTACCTCCTACTCAAGTGAAATGCCCAACCCTGATCTACAAACACCAATTCCAGGCTCTTCAATGCCCATGGCACTGAACAAGAAAACAAGGCAGAACAATCGCCCTTCAGCCACCACTCCCACTGAAAAGGCTCCTTCTCCACCCCATTTCCCCTGGCTCAGCTGTCCCCATACCTCTTCTCTGACTCTGACATGAGGAAGACCTTCTGTTCCACACGTTCATGGGGCTTGCCTGCAGAGCCGATGTACACCACAGCAGGTCGCCGAAGATAGCTCCGGGCCAGACGCTCCACGGCTGGGGGCATGGTGGCCGTGAACATGACCGTCTAGGAAAACAGGACGCTCAGCCTTGGGCCCAGGAAGATACAATCACATATCCTACCATCGCCACAGGCAGTACAGCCCAGGCTGAAGAATCTAAAATAAACCATGTTGTAAACTTTCATAGCCACCACCTTAGGAAATAGTGTCCTTTGCCTTCCCACTTCTTTCCTTAGTACCTGAACTTGGCATCTCATGATGATAAGAAGGGCTGAGGGCATTGGCTAGCATCTATAGTGGACAGTACCGTGACTGTTTGGAATCATTTTTCCAGGGTTAAGCTAAATGGCTACAACTGTCAGAGGACTGCATCTAGGCAGGCCTCACCATTTTGGAAACATGTACTCTGAGCCCATGTAAGGCAAGAAGGGCCCTAGAGCAGGTCTGCCAACTTGCCCAAATCTTCCCAACCCAGGGAAGCAGCCTTACTTGGCGGTACTTATGTTTTCCTGACTCAAAGTTGGCCAACATCTTCTCAGGGTCCTCAGCCTCATCCGTGTCCGGTTTCTGGTTGGTGACAGGCATGTGCTCCAGGATCTTCTGGACGTCTGGCTCAAAACCCATGTCATCATCCTATCTGCCTCATCCAGAACCACGTAGGTACAGCGGCTCAGCACCAGATAGCGGTTTTCCAGCACATCAATCAGACGTCCTGGGGTAGCAATCACAATCTAGAGGGTATAGTGGAATCATATGTAGCCCCAGCAGATACACCCTTCTTCTCTCTTCTGTGAACTACCCACTCACTTGGACAACAGAACCCCAATGCTAAGAAACTTAGACCCCCAACCTCTAATTATGTTTGGCAGTGAAGGTTCCTGAGAATTGGCACAAAATT